AATGGGTTGTTGGAATTGGTGGGGATATACGAAAAACAATTTTGCTACCAAAAATGGCCCACAAATGGTTGCTGTGAAGGAGATGATCGACACTGTCCGTATGATTAACCGGGCGATTGTTGCAGCCGTGTCAAAATAAAACACGAGTTTCTCATATTATCAATCAATTAATAAAATTGATTCTCATTTGAGAGGTATGCAGCCTATCTACACAATGGCAGACATTGTTCGACTAGTTTAAACTACCAAATTAAGCCAAACAAATATAAGCATATTGAAATATCATGTCGATAGCATACAAAAAAGCGTTTCACATTTTAATCCTTGAGTGTTATTTGTCAATCGATCTGAACTTACCTGAGAGTTCTTTCTTCCCTACCTTCAAGTATTCTCTTGTCGAGCTAATCTCTCTCTTTCAATCGCTAGTTTCCTGTTCATGGAAAAAGGCTACACTATGTTTTGGTACTACGTCTTACTGACAAAAAAGTTGAAGTTTGTATCTGCACAGATCCGAAAACAAAACTATGATGTGATACGTCTATCTTTTAGTCGTGTTAGAGCCATCTTTGACTATCTCAAAGTTTATAATTCAAACAGATTCGTCAGTTCGTCACCATCAATGATAGGTCATATTTTTCTTTGGTCTGTGTCCATGTATTTGTCCTTTTTATGATCAAAAACGTTTCTGCCATCGTTTCTGAACTTTATCGGTCAACTACGATGGCAAAACCAAATCTAAAGAGAACTCGAGATATTGTTTTCACAATTGATACTAATAACATTGATATCAACATTTCTAACGGTAATAAATCAGATTCTGATAATGATAATGCTGGAGTTTTTCAAGCGAGTCTGATAGGTGTGAATGTGGATGACAGCGAAGAATAGGAGCACCGACACCACCGTCGAACTTTCAATGAATTTCATGATTTTCCAGCATATGGCTCCCGATAGATCGTTTGTCGAGACAGGATGAAGTGGCCGATGGATAGTCCACGAAATTCTGCATTGATTGATGTATGTTTCATGCTTCGGCAAACTAAGACATAGAAGCTGAAGAAGATTTAAAGACATATATTTCAGAATTTGCAGGGATTTTCGCACATTCTCGGATTTTCTCCAGTTTACCGCACAAAAACAACCTGGTTATGTGATATCTCGGTAGTTTCTTCATGGACTGGTATGAATTGCAGGTGGAGTTAGACAAAGAAAGGTGGACAGCTTATAATCTCAGGAGTTGCTACATCCGGTTCTGTATGCCTTCTATGGTCTTTTATTGGTGGTTACTGTAAGATGACCAATGAAATCGTCGTCACGATCGTGGAGATATATCGTGTTGTGGTAACTCCACAGTAATACCTAGCGCCACGTTCTAGTTCGAACAGTTCGATACTGATACTCGATCAAAAATCAAGGATTAAGGCACCCTTCCCCCTCCCCCTCACTCTGAACGAATAATTCATATTAACGTTTGTGCATTTGGATTGTATTCACAACTAAGATTTGTTAATATTTTTTGGAATGCAAGGTCAATATTGCGAGTGAGTTATGCAAGACCTGCGAGAGGTGTAGGAAGAAGAACGAGAAAAATGATTAATACATTACTTTCTGTCGTTCACATCATTGGCAAAACAACGTTGTTCTCTTCGTTCAAATGTCTCCTTCAGTTTTTTTCTTCTCAATGTACGCTATCCTAATGAAATACGTATAGGTTTTGCTCTTGTGTTGAATCAGCTGCTGAAGCTGTGGAATATTTTATTTTTTTCGTAGTGGAACTGAAACTTTTCCTTGCATTCTTTCATATTCATGAAGGTTTTCTCATGGGCGACGCTCCTCCAATGGTGGGCATTTCGCGACATCTCTGTTTGGCATCGTGTGCTTGAATGAGTTTAGCAGAAGATAGCAATGACATATAAAAAAACAACTGTTCGAAGGCTTAGAAGTCCACAATTTTAAAATGAATCAAATCAAATTGATCGACACACATTTTCAAATGGATTTTCGCATTTGACCGTGCATGATCGTGTAAGATTCGTGTTGTAAAAACTTCTATTTCATTAATGATAGAACTTATCTGATCTTATATGATAAGATTGGTGTCATTACAGCTGTTTTTGTATGTTTCGTACCTTGGGATTCTTGTAAGACTTCCGCTTGAATCATACATTAAGAATCATATTCGAAGTCTTGCAAAAGTATTGAGAGTACAATCTGACGTCTGGTTTTTTGATTTAGGATGTGAATTATTTGCAGTTTAGCCGTTCTCTTCTTAAGTAAGAAAAAAACATTGTTTACTTTATTTTTTTCATGATTTTTACCTTTCCTAACACGTTTTTTTGTACCATTGGATAGAGCGCTAATCAAATTAAACTCTAATATATGTAAACTTGAAAAAGTATACTTTCAACTTTCCATCTGATGTCATACTCGTTGTCTACTGTGTGGAGTCCTTAGTCTCATATTAATCACATCTAATAAGTGGTTTTCCTTCCAAAAGAACTAAAAATCTCAATCGTCAGTAAAATGTCACGTCAATAAGCAATTCTCTATTCAAGAAAATCATTCCTAGTGAATCTGCTTGAGATAAACAACTAAATACTTGGATACTTGAAAATTTTCAAAAGTGTTTAGTCAAGTCATCAAACTTTCAGGTAGGTGGAAAAGTTTAAATAATTACAGAATATTTCGTTAATTTCTGCTCCTGTCTAATAAACAAAAATAATCAGGTGGAAACTCCTCTCATCAGTTCTCGCTTCATTACACAAAAGTTGAACACTTCCTTATCTTCGCATCGACGTGTCATTTTTGTTCTCTTCTATGTGTAAAGTATGGATGTTACTTGTTACTTATGTTGTACACATCATCAAGAACGTTTTTTGTACTGATTTCTTTAATCAGTTAAAATTCAACCATCCATCATTCAATCAATAACATACCAATACACGTTAATTTCATTCTTTATCAAATATAAATACTTTTGAGATGTCAAAATTATCAATATTAGATCAATTTTCAGATGAATTACTCTACAAAGTATTTGAATATTTAACAACATATGATATACTATATGCATTTAAAGGATTAAATAAACGAATCGAAATATTGTAGGAAAAGTATACTAAATGCGATCTTAATTTTAAATTGTGGCCAAAATCTAAATTTGATATTTATTTGTCAAGAAACTTGGCCGGAACAAATTCGATCATTGATATTATTTGATGCTAATGATACATGTTGACAAAAATTCACTTATTTTTTGAATTATTCTATATTCGACAATTTATTAATCTTGAATCATTAATATTAATCGAAATTACTGAACAACATTTAAATAAAGTCATGACAAAATTAAATCTTCTATCAAAATTATCTTATTTATCGATTAAACTTGCGCATGGTTTAATATTTAAAATAGCAGTATCATCACTCAAATATTTACCAATTGGCATATGTTAAATGAGTCAGTTACAACAATTGTTATTGTGCACACTAACCTTGACAAAATTAGATGTACAACTAATTACTGATACTACTCCTGCAGATAACACATTTCTTTCACCAACTATAACAACAGAAATTTATCAATTAAAGATTGAACTTGCCGAAAATTCAAACATAACATTTAATGATATTACAGTATTATTTCTGTGGATGCCGAAATTAAAAAAATTTACATTTATTGCAGCAAAATGATTAAAATTTATTCGTGGTGAACAATGGGAATATCTAATTCGTAAATATTTGCCACAATTAAAAAAAATTCCATTTTAAAATTCATCCACATTTATATGATATACACATATAGAACAATTATTAGCAACATTTCAAACTTCATTTTAGTTCAAAAGAAAAACAATGATTTGTTAATTGTGATTATCATCATTTTCCAAATATTGATTATTGTAACCTACATAATACAATACATTCTAAAGAATTTCTATCATATATATTAGTACATTCTTTAAAATTATAATTGTTGACATTATCCTGGCATACACTTATAGAAATAACAAAAAATTTTACCGATCAACAAGTATGTTCACTGATGAATAAACAAATCAAAAATTTAAATTTATTGAATATGATATCGAATAATGATGAAGACAATTGTAAACTTATAAAAAGTCTCATTAATATATTTTCAACAAATTTAGAAAAGTTAAGTTTGAGTCTAACATCTATCGATAATATTCTATTAATATTAAATGAAACGTTCACATTATATAGTGTTAAAATGGAATGTAATCCATTTGATACAACAATTAATAATGAAGAACTATCATTGTGACTTATGCAAAATGTTCTAAGATTAAAAAATTTTTCATATCAGATCCGACTAGTAACGGAAACAAGAGCCTGTTTACTTCTTTGGATTGATCATTAGTTGATTGTGTAAAGATAGTTCAAAAGACAATATATTAATTTTACTATGATTTGATTTCAAACAGCTTCTATCAAATCAGTTATTCTTCCAAATTCGCACGCATTAGATAACGCTTCAAGAGTTCGAAACAAAAATTTTCTCTTTGAACTTCAAAACTTAAAGTGTAGCTTATTCTTCTTGAAAAACTGTCCTTTTTTTTAAAATAAAGTGTTCATCTAACGTTTTCCTATAAGAAAAATCGTTGATATTTCCGTTCTAGATCTTTGATAGATCCAATTAAGATCCTGTAAGAATTTACTGCTTTTTTTCTGAGAATGAGTGGACTAAAGACTCATATTCGCACTCACATCGTGAAAAGATGTCTGAGAATCCCGAATATAAATTGTCCAGAATCCGCATGCCATTATTTTATACGTCGCGTGAGTTATTCATAAAAACATCCGAGTATCTTGACGTCTAGCTCAGATGCCAGGTTATCTTCTTTGAAAAAAACGAAGACCATTAACCGAAAAAGCTGTATCGTTTATGTATGTGAGTTTCTATATGTTGATGAAAATCTCTTCTGTCTAATACATTTATTTTCAAAAATTATATTACACTACTAATAATGAAAAATTTATCTGTCAATACAAAAAAAAAAAAAACATCAAAAAATATTTATTACTATAAATACAAACATTATGACTAGACACAAATTGACAAGACTAAAGAGGAATGTTGCTGATGGAAATAAATATGGTGCTGATGAAAAAACATTTTCATCAAATTTAAAGCAATCATTTGTAACTACATTAAAATGATTTGCCTCACAAAATTCTAAACCTGATTTATAAAGTGTACCTAAAGAATAAATATGAATAATAAAAATTTTGTAACATATAAATATCTATACATACCAATAATATTTCCACTAAATTCAGCTGTTTTACAATGTTTATAAAGTTCATCACAAAATGTTTGACAAATTTTAACATGTCTAAATAAAAAAATAAATAAATTTGATAATGAACAAAAATAAAGATTATATATATATATATATTACTTTTTAATATACCATAAATATTGATCAGGTGCACAAAAGAAACACATGAGATAATTCATCATATTTCGACATTGTGATGAAGCTTGATGTAAAGTAAACATTGATTCAAAAACACTTGCTACTTCAGTTCGTTTACAACATGCATCATCTTCATACCATGAACAATTAGCTAAACCTTTTTCTACTTTTGGATAACGGTCATCAGCTACAAATATATAAATCAATATTTATGATTCTATTTTGTTATATAATTTAACTTACAAAAAAATCGACATGGTCTTGTAGTATCAAAACGAATTTTAATTAATTCAACATCATCTTCATATTCTTCAAGTGTCAATGCATCAGTAAAACCAGTATTTATATTAACTGAATTTGTATATTGAAAAATAAATGATATTAAATAGAATAATATCAAATGATAATTCATTGTCAATTATGGACATTAGAAATTACATGCAAGTGAAAAAACAACAATATTGAACAAAGAATATATCTAAAAAAAGTTAGAAAATTCTAACAATAAATTGGCATTGACTTCATTTGTTCGTTATTCATTAAATATTGATCAAAGATAAAACGATCAATACTTCCTTGTAATAGTTCAGTTGTTTCATGTCATTTTAGTTTCTTGAAGAGAATGATAAAATTTTATTTCTCTACCGACATTGAGTGTCTGAAAAAAAATGAGTATGCATGATTCATTGTATATAAAGCATTTAAAAAATGAAATTTTGATTTCTTTAATAATAATAATAACAATACTATCTTAATTCACTGCAAACTGAAAACAATTCATAATAATAATAAATGCAAGAAAAAAAATGACTTTTATAAAAAAAAACCAATTGAATATAAATAGTACCTAAAAAAAACAATCTCAATAAATGCAAAAGCACCACATACACACACATAATTCTAAATTATGGATCAACAAATGAAACCATAATATATCTTATTCCTTTCGTTATTGGTAAATCTTCATGTAAATGTGTTAAACGACCCGGTTGTAATAATCCCCAACCACGACGTGTTGATACTACAGAACAATTATATCGAGCAAATCGACAACCACCACCCTATATAAAAAAAAACATTATTTATTTTTTTTCTAAATAACAAAATCTTTTCTATTTTCCTACTTCGAAATCTTTTCCAACATCATTCAATGCAAGATTAACTGTATAAGTTGATGCATCATGATGTGGTCGTAACTTATTTTGACGATCAGGCATATAACGAACAACAAAACTAAGTGTAGCTTTTGGTGGCTAGAATAAATAAAAACATATATTTAATATGATTTAAATACAAAATAAATTATAATTTACATCACTATAATAACCAGTAAAAACTTTTTGTTGCATTGGTTGAACAATATCTCGAAGAATATATAACCAATGTTCTTGTAAACCGACTTGTGTCATATGAATATCATCTGTTGGAACATTTTCATAACCACCAGCTAATCGAGCGTCCTAATAGAATAAATAATGAACTTTTTTTCTATTAATATTTCAATATGAATTTACATTATGTGATGATCCTGACCATTGATTATATGTTTCCACTAGATTAATTAAATCTTCAGTAAATTCTTTAGTTACAAATGGAAACCAATATACATCAGGACATGGCTTTAAAAAAAAGCAAAAATTAATAAATTTTAATTTTATTTAAAAACTAATGAAATACTTGTTCAAGTGTTACATTTGGTTCAAGAGTTTTATAATAATCTGGATGAAGATAACGAGCTTTCCAATCCTTAAGAATATAGAATAATTTTTCATACAAATAAAATTTCAAAAACAAAAATTTTACTTTAACATTATTAAATATTTCATATAATTCAGGTTTAGTTAATGAAATATTAAAATTATCTGCATCAATTAAATGTCCATAATTTAGTTCATTATTTACATACATAAAATGTCCCTTTAAATACAAGATGAATCAATAATATAGAAAAATTCTATTCTATCAACATACAGCATCTCGTAATGATTGACAAAATTTTATATCTGGATCTATTTGAGAATCAATATATTTCGGTGTAAAACGTTGAAGAAATGATCCATTGATTAAATAAACATTTGCAACATGTGGAACATTGAAAAGACCCCTAGAGAAAAAAAAAGCCGATTAGATTACAGTCTTGAACAAAAGTTGTTCGGCCTCGGTGTTTTCAATCACCATAATGGCTAACATTTTGTGTACACATACTCCATCAGGCATAACGATCAGCGACACTATATTTGGAACTCACTTGAGTGGAAAAAAACGAGTTAAGATGGATGGAATCTATTATTTGGATTGTTTCATATTCTTAAAAGACTACCTACTAGAGCCCGTCGGGTAGAACCTGGATTCAGCTCTGAAGAAAACTTTGATGCATACAATGTATTGTGAATTTTTTCAAAATGTTGTTTATTTTATGAAGAAACAAAAATTGAATGCATTTAGAAAATAGACAAAAACAATAACACATTTTTTTGAATGTATTATCGAAACTGATTTATTATCATGCTTGGATCCAACAAATTTAAGCGACCGTGTCCAAAAAACTTGAATCCGACGAGCGCTACTACTTATTCAAATTCGTCTTTTTTTCTTATTATATACATGATTGATTCTAAAGATTTTCAAATGAAACTAAAATCCAATCTATAGTCTTTCTTTATGTTTGTTGAACTTAAAGGACAATAGATTGACGAACTTTCATGAGATTTGTATAAATAGACACTATTCTTCATAACTCACAAGGGAAATGGCCGAAGTGTAACTCGTCTTTAGAGCTCATATTGAGACCACAAGTAAGTTTCGACAAGATTGAAACAATTCCAAAAGGATTGAGATATTGAATTTTCAACAAATAGCTGATGGCTGCAAAAACTCAGGTTTACTTGGAAATTTAATATTTCAACAAAGGAACATTCTTTTCGACTGGAATTTTCAGAATATTTCCAGAGCAGTCTATAAGCAAAATTCTTGGTCGAAATACCTAAAGCTGAATCAAAGATTCAATAAAATGGTTACAACTCGAATTCGTCAGTGTCTTCTTAAGCAAGCGAGATGCAGAAAGTCCTATCGATCTATCTTTATGATAGAGTATGAGTACACAAATTTTCAGACCTTTATTCCCCTTACAGTAACTTCGATCCGCGAGGAAAAAAGCGGCAAGTTTTTGTTCAGGAATGTATATCTTACATTTTTTTGTAATTGATAATATCCATATAATCAGGTGATCGTTGATAAAATCCTTGATCAGAATAATCTCCCCAAAAATTACTCCAAGTTTGTCCAGGTTGTAAAAGCATTGGTGCAATAACAGTTCGATTAAAGTTTATTAATTGAATTAATGTATCTGGCTGGTCAATATGAGCTATTGAATCAAGAATAAATAAATAATCACATTTATCATTTTGACATTCACGACTAAATATAAGAAAAGATTTTTTATTATTTTAAAATAATATATTAATAAATATATACATTGCTTGTTCTCGTGCTTCACCTTCGGTTATATCATCAACGACATTCAAATATTTGACGAATTTATATTCATCTTGTTTGAATTTTTTTAAATATTGCTCCGTAATATTTTTATGATACTCAACCTAAAAGTGATATTAAAATTAAAGGGATGCCGTTTGCAAATTTTATGAATATCTTTAATTTTGTTAGTTATGTACTTCGTTTAATAGGTGTACCTTATTGAGAGCTTGGACCAAGTCATCATCTTGATGAATGTTACTTTATTAGCAAGAGTGAATTGTAACTTAATTCTTATGAAATCAGTATTAAAATTGTCTGAGAATTGTTAACCATCAAATTCAAATAATTTCAATCTCACACTTTTGAAGGGATTATGAAGTGTGGATTAAAAAATTTCATTAAGAGTAATGTTCGGGTTTGAAAAACCATCAATAAATCAGTTCCTAAGTTTTTGGACTTGACGAACTCTAATTTTATCACTATTTAAACCTTAAATATTATCTTATGCTTTACAGTATCTATTCGAACGAGGATTGTTCATTGAGATGATCCCTCTAATCAACCTGTTAAGATAACAAAAATTATGCAACGAGAAAGATTAAATTAATCAAATGACTTCAGAAACTTCTTCGAGAACATCGCACTTTGTAGAGAATTGTTTTCTTTATCATTTTATGTAGTCTAATCAAAGTTGCACTTGTGCGTATAAAATGCTGAAAAACTAGAATTTTCATTTTCTTATATTCTTGTTGAAAACAACTTGCGTCACTATTCAGATTCGTTGTAGTGCTGAAGACAGTAGAAAAAAAATTGAATGTAAATCTTGTTGAATAATTTTAGTACTCCCTGTATAAGAGCAAAACGTTATCAACGATTCAATCAACATTACAATCATTAATTCTTTTCTATTCTTGTTGAAATTTATTTCTAAATTTTACTCTTCACACCTCACAACCGTGTCAGAATGGCTACTGATAGAATAGCTTTATAAATAGACTATTAGCCTGTCTCATATGCTAATGATATGTTCTGATCGACTGAGTGACCATATCTTTATGTAGGATTGCTTGATTGGTCCAATGATCGCATGATAGAGAAAGGAGATTTAACAACATGTCAACCCTTGACTTTTTTTTCTTTGACCATATTATTGAATAAGCAAAAGTAAGATCAATTCCATGTTATTATAGTAGTAGAAAAAAGGAAGGAATGAACCGATAATAATTAATATCAAAAGAATACACATCTACTTTACTTTGAATCATTTCATTCATAATAAATACTATTTCAACTTCTCATGAATTGATATTTACATAATACATATATTAGCATTATTCTTGATTGCCTAATAATGACTTCATAATCAATTGTATGCCTTAGTATATATAATTCGCGGCAAGTTATCATGAAGTTTTCGAAACATTTCTAACTCTCTAGTGGACTTCTTCATTGATTTATACCATACAGAAATTCTACAAGCTTATCGTTTTCAAATTTCAAACTTCCTTTATTTTTTGCAATCATTCTCGTAATTCTTACTTGATTATGAATTAAAATACCCAAACGTTGTTTTGGATAAGTAATTTTTATTATTTTTTCAAAATATTCTCGAAGAAATGGTGTTGGATATTCAATAAATAAAGCGATATAAACCATAGGCCATTGCTTAAGCTAAAGCAAACAAAAAAAAAGTTTCTTAGAAAAAAACAAAAATTTCACTCTTACATCATCAATTTGTGTTACATCAAATACATTTTCTTTACATTGTAAACATCCATCACTTGATGACCAAGTACGAGCAATATAATTACTTAAATAATTTAAACTTTTCTATAAAAGAAAATAAGAGACAAAAAAAAAACAAGAGTCAAACTTTTAATTTATACTTTAGCACGACTATTGCCATGAATAACCGTTGGAATTGAATCTGTCCTAGTATTATGTACATAAACTTCATCTCCATTAGTTGGTAATTCAAGTTCATTAATAGCATCATTTAAATTCATAAAAATATCAGCACGTTTATCAAGTATAATTGACCATTTATTCTAAAGAAAATAAAACAATAAGAAAAATTATTTTAAATTCAATTTTTTGTTTTTTTTTACTCGAAGAGTTTTATCAAGAAAAATTTTTGTAAAAAATAATTGTTCGTCATTAATTTCATTTTCACTTGTAATCATTTCATAAATATTCGAAGCATAACCCATAAAACCACCAGAATTTAAAAAACGTTTTTCATTACTTGCAACCATTGGATAATCATTCTAAACAAGAAGAAATTAAAGAATACACAAAAGACAAAACAATTTTTACTTGTAAATTTTGATCAGGCCAACAAATATCTTCAGCACCAAATACAATTCGAGCTGGTTTCAATGTTTCAAATTTATTAAGTATAAAATCTGGTCCTTGAGTTAATATTACATTATAACCATCAGTATAGAGAATTATTTTTGTTTTATCATCTTTATAACGAACAAGATTTTCTCGAAGAATCTTCATTTTTTGTTCAGCATTTGTCACGACTTGATCAAGACCATAAATCTATATAATAAAATTCATTTATAATTATCAAGCACAGGAAAATTTTAAATCGATTTTGAGAAATTTTTCAATCTCTCTGATGATTTAATAGTTTCAATTCCAGTCTATTGGAACCGCCGAACTCTAGGAATTTGTCGTAGAGTTTAGATGACGTATTACAGTCAATTGAAAATTTCAAACCCAACAAGTTTGAGTTCAGATTGTCATCTAGTTTTCTCTCAATCTCTTATTAAATTAAACGATTCATTGGATCATTCTTCATTTGATGCCCTCGACGAACTTCTTTTGATCTGCGTAGGAGATACTTGAGACCTTTCGGTGAGCTCAAGTTCTTAAACATCCTGTTCTATCGCTTGATAGTCTTGCTCATGTGCTTGAATTTTTACCCAAGCGTGTCTGTTATTAAGGAACTATTTTAGTTTTTTTTTCAATTTTACGTGCAAAATAACTCAACTTTTAATAAAGATTCATAGTTGCATTTTCTGGGGTTGAGTACATGAGTTTCTTGTAACTCATGCAAACACTCAAGCGCTTGTCTTGAGCAAGAAAAGCATGCGCTATGTACAAATCTGGAGGTCTGCATAGATCAAGAGTATGAAAAAACAGTTCGCCGAGGGTTATCAACGACAGACATCCTTCTATATAGAAGTACAAAATCTGCTGCTAAAATAAAAAATTTCCCTATCGCCAAAGTAACCAAGAGAGAAACAAGACTACTACACACACACACAAAATAATGTTATGTAAAATTAGTTTCATCAATCATTGAATAACACTGATAGTCTTAGTCATTTCAGAAATGATTTATCACAATTGAACGAAAACTTAAAAGTTTTCATGTTAAGTATTATTCACTTAGTATTAGTTGCCTCAAATCGTAGTGGAATTATTGAAGGTTAGCAGAATAACGAAGTTTTTCAACTTGTTACCTTGTCTTGAGCGGTTTCGTTGCGGTTTGTTCTCTATTGAGATTTACGCATGAACTTCATATTCTGAATGTTACGCAAGAAAAACTTCATTAGTTAATTTTCTATATTAAAAAGTTTTTATATAGACAAAAATTCTTCCTACGCGTGTAAACGTAGGATAGAAGAAATATCCGTTAATCAAATGCGATCAGTTGTTCAATTTGCTTTTTCTATATATCAGTCTTAAATACCTTTTATGAAATAATAATCGAAATAAAATGAAAAATAATCTTCTATGCATTGAATTAAAAATTAGACTTGATAGGTTTGAGCAATAATTCAAAAATTTTTCTAATAATTACCTCATATTTATAACCATAGATATTTAATGATCGAATAAAACGATGATAACCATCATTTTGATTTGTAACAACAGCAACAACGAGTAAATCATCTGGATAATAAATATTATATATGTATAATTTCAAAGAATATTTTCAAATACCTTTATTTATTGCTTGAATAGGATGACTAAAACTAATTATGAAGAAAATTATTAATAGTCTTAACATTGTTCTTAAGGTCATGACAACAATGACCGATTAAATGGAACAATATTGAGTACTTCAATGATGATTATTATCTATTTATAGAATTGATTCTTCTAGCGCCACAATCAATTTTTGTATTCATCTTATTTTTTATTTATTCTTTTAATAATAAAAAAAAAATTTTAATTATATTTCTATAAAAGAAAATTTTAATCAGAAAAATTTCATCAATTCAATATGCATAAATGCATTAATAACCTGTTATGCAATCACTATAGAGAAAAGTTCATTTTTTATATTCATTATTATTATTCATTGACAAACGTAAAAATAAAAAAAAAGGAAAGCATAGGTTTTTTTCCCAACATGTCTTTATTACATAATGCCAAAAAAAAAATTCTTACAATATTTATTCTTTTTTATTTCAGATCGACACTATATATTTTAGTCGTCGTTTCTTCTTAACATCATTACAAAAAGAAAAATGTCAAACATAAATGGTAATGTACAACAAGATACATCATCATCATCATCAAATCTTCAAGGTTCACATGAAAATGAAAAATCATATACTGATCAAGGAATAAATGAAAAAATTGTACAAAAAATTCGTTCATTAATTGATATAGGTAAATTAAATTCAAGTGATATTGATAATCGTGTATGTGAACAATTACGTTCATTTTCTGATGATATAACAAGTATTGATTCATTATTTAATGAATTTAATGATTCCGATTTAACCGGTGTTGTTAATAAAGGTGCATTTCTATGTAATTTTATAAAACAATGGAAATTACGTAATCCACAACAACCAAAATCTTCATCTAATGATTCACAATCAGGATCAGGTTTTGGTGAAAATGCTCGTACACATAAACCTGGTCCTGATGAAACAAAATTAAAAGTAAAGCAAAAAAAAACACATCATAGTTATTTTTTTTTTTGTTTTTGGATTTTTAGCAAATTGTTGATCGAACCGGATATAAAACTGAAGTCACAGCTGGTCAACGTAAATATGGTGGACCACCACCTGATGGACCGGATCGACCAGCTTCTCGTAGTGAAGTATGTAGATTTTTCGAGAACAAAAAACAAAAAATTTTTGTCTCTATTTTCAAAATTAGGTTTTTATTGGTAAACTTCCACGTGAAATATTCGAAGATGAATTAATTCCATTATGTGAAAAAGGTGGAAAAATTTGGGATTTACGTTTAATGATTGATCCAGCATCAGGTTTTAATAAAGGTTATTGTTTTGTTACATATTGTTCTCCAGGAGATTCAACAAAAGCATGTGAACAAGTAAGAATATATAGGTTTCATTGCAATATTTATGTTTGTAGAACACACATTTTGTTTATTTCGAAAAAAAAAATACTAGTGACAGTCCATCGGGGTCTACCAATGAGTATGTTGCCTGTAGCAATGAAAGATAAGAGGCGTGAGACGTTGAGACCTACTATAGATTTAATGAATAACTATGTACTGTATTAAGAAAAGTGGAATACGAAAAAGACAAATTCTGTTTTGTAATATCTGAAATAAGTATGATAGATCGTATTCCTTCCAATTAACTGTTCTTAAAAAACAATCTGTTAGAAATTTCTTACTTGACATATTTTGTATTAGTATAATGAGACATAAAAACACATGTGAATTTCACATATGGTTATGTTGACAAAAATTTCTTTTTTGTTTTTGTTCTAGCTTAATGGTTATGAAATACGTCCTGGAAAACCCATAAAAGCAAATTGTAGTGTTGCTAATCTTCGATTATTTATTGGTAATATACCAAAAACAAAATCAAAAGAAGAAATTAAAGATGAATTATCTAAAGCAGTTGAAGGTGTTATAGAAGTTATTATTTATACACCAGCTGATGAAGCTGATAAGAAAAAAAATCGTGGATTTTGTTTTGTTGATTTTGATACACATAAAAATGCTTCAGCTGCTAAACGAAAATTAGCTAATGGTCGTGTTCGAGTAAGAAGAATACCTTTTTTTTTTTTTTTGATCTATTAAAAATGAAAAATTTTCTTAAGGTGTTTAATCGTGATATTGCTGTTGATTGGGCTGATCCAGATGAAGAACCTGATGATGATACAATGTCACAAGTAAAAGTTTTATATGTACGAAATTTAACATCTGATGTATCAGAAAATGATGTAAAAGATTTCTTTTTACCATATGGAAATATTGAACGTGTACGAAAAGTTCGAGTAAGTCATATAATTTTTATACAAAAAAAACAGGAATTTTATTTTGAATTGAATTGTATAGGATTATGCCTTTGTTCATTTTGAAAAACGAGATGATGCATTAAATGCAATGCGTGCACTTAATGGAAAAGTAAAAGAATAGTTTAAATTAAAAAAACTAAAAAAAGAAATTATTAAAATTTTAAGATTCTTGGTCGAAATACAATTGAAGTTAGTTTAGCTAAACCATTAAGTGATAAACGAAAACAAGCACAATCAAAACGTGAACAACGAAAACCATTTGATCCACCAATAAATACACGAAATAATTTTGATGATAACGCATCAAATAATTTCGGTGGTTTTAATAATGATGTACCACGTCGTGGACGATCTGATGATTCATTCAGTTTGTATTATCATTAAATGATATGTGTATATATTTAAATTTTTGTTTTTAGATGCGAATAATTTTGGTGCTTTTAGTGGAGATAATTTAATGGGAAGTGGTCCATCACGGGGTGGATCATCTCAACGAGGCAATAATCGTGGTGGCGTAAGTGATTGAAATGGCGACTATAAGATCTTGACTATAACACACTCTATCTAGTGAAGTTTTACCTAGTAGTGGCGCTAGTAGTCTGATGGCGCCATCTATTGACTAATCAACAGTACGCAGTAGAACTTGATAATATATATATCATTAGATAGAGTGTTTTGTATTCAAAATCTTATTTGAGAAAAAGAAATGAATATGAGTTTTTATTTAGCGTTCTGGTGGTTCATCAGGTGGCGATCGAAGTGGTTTTTCAGGTAATCGTGGAAGTGGTTTTAATTCAGGTAATCGAAGTGGACATGGTAATTTCAATCAAAATAATCGTGGAGGTTTTAATAATAATAATAATAATAATTATCGTGGAAATTATGGCGGACCACCACAAAATGTAAGCAAAAAACAAAAAGTTCTTTTTTACATTAATCTTTATTTTCATTCTTTTAAAAGAATAATTCTGGTGGATTTAATAATAGTGGTTTCAATCAAATGGGTAGTGGATTTAATAATCAAGGTAGAATAATAATACAATTTTATGATAGAAAAAGTATAGGTTTTTTTTTTTATTTAGGTGGTTTTGGTGCATTTAATGGTCCACCACAAAGTAACAATCAATCATTTGGTCGACAATCAAATCAAATGGGTATGAGTAACAGTGGCTTTGGTATGAATCCAATGCAACAAAATCAATCATATGGAGGTATGAAACGACCACCGAATCAGATGAACGATGGTAATATGACAAAACGATCCCGTCCAGATACTGGATCGTGGGGAGCTATGGGTGGTGATGGTAATGATAATTCCAATAATGGTCCACAACAACAACAACAGAATGCCGGTGGAAATTGGTATCAAGATCAGGGTTACAACAGCTCACAGCAACAGTCCAGTTATAGCTGGAACTGAGCTTTGTCTATAGATTATCCAATGTGTGTGAGAGGTGAACTTTTCGAAAAAAAAGACAGTGGGTGAAAACAAAAAAAAATTAAATTCTCTCTTGTTCCTATTCCCCGAAAAATTGGAAAATCGAGACAATCGAATTTTGTTTACACATACATATATAGATTTCTTCATTTTTCGTGTTTTTCTTTTTGTTTTCTCATCAATGTTTATAAAGATAATTAACCAAAAAAAAAAAAAACAACAACAACAACAAGAAAAAAAACATTAAGAAGGAAGATTAGTTTTTTTGTATAGTAAAAAAAAAAACAAAAGACTTTTTCTTAATTCATTTGTTTATGTCTGTGTCATTCATTCATTCTTTCTGTTCTGTGCTTTTTGCTTTTTGGACCAAAAGTGTTCATCGTCGTTTCTCTTTCGATAAAAAAAAAAAATTTTGTCATATCGCACAAAGCAAATATAACCAATGTCTTTTTTTGATTTTCATATATTTTTTAAAAAAAAAAAAAAAAAAAAAAAGAAAATTTAGAGAGAGAGAGATTAAACTAAAACTTTAAATCATTGGTTGTGTGGAATATTTATTTCGTCGATCTATTGGAAAATAAAATACAAATATATTGGAATAATAATAGAAAATTTTGAAAAAAAATAAAAATAAACAGATTTTTAATATTGGGTAAGAATGACGGATTATTTCGGATTGAAGTTTTGATATAAATTATATTTTGATTTTAAATAAAATTTGATTAAGAAAAATAGATATAGATTAAACTACATTAGTGATTTTATTTCAGGGTATTTTGTTTTCCATCATTCATCATATGGAATCGATTCGGTTTTGGCTTATTATGCAATTATTTTGACCACACCAATGATTTCAACATATTTTTATTCATCGATTTTGGATGTTCAAAAAAAAAACAGAATTCAATATGAAACGATTATCAATGATATTGATAATAAAAGTATGAATCTTATGTTAATATTTATAGTGAAATAAAAGAAAGTTTTTAGATCATACACAGATAGATGAAGCAATTTAAGTAGAACAGTAATCGATACTAATGTACATAAAGCCATGGATCAAGTTTGCAGTTACATTTTGGTGTCTTTGTGTTTGTATTTATACAGCATAATTAGTCAAATGTTGTATGACCATAATATAAGCTTTCTTATCTTGCTGATTTGTCAGATATTATTGTATCAGTGGTTTTTCTTTATTCAATTGTTTATGTCAAATTTTTTTTCTTACCATTGTTTTACACTTTTTATATGAACGATACGTTTTTGATATGTATAATATATGTATGGATTTGTTTTCATTTGAAAATTTTATAATAGTTGATAGTTTTTGAATGTACATTGAATCGGTTATCTGATAGATACTTTCACAGTGATAGTACAGTTGTCAAACTTTTACTTTATATGATTTACTTGATGTCTTGCTGCTGATGACGTTGAAATGGAACGCAATATTAGTGTCAAACGTGATACTTGTGAATACATACATGAATACTTTGTCCATCATGATAATATATGTTCACTCTTTTGATAGTCCATTTTCCTATTTAAAACATACGAGATCGAAGACACCTGCTTGTGAACTGCTCGATCAAAAAATCAGTTTCCAGTCTTTTTGTCGAAATCTTCGAGCTCATTGAATGAGGGTGTGAGTCAAGACAAGATCATTATTACTAGCTACACCCAAAGTAGGTATACGATGTTGATATCTGACAGACAATCGTAAAGCAGTCGACACATTAGAAGATCCAGAGTCTTCAATAATATGTCCTCCGAAATACTTATATTTTTTGATAACTATACAAAAAGTATTGGTCAAAGTATTTTAATTCTTTGCAGAAAGTTTCTCTCTGTATGATCTGACAATAAAAACTAGTGCACTACATTTGTCTAATGTTCGATCATTCTTCAAGTGATATTATAATAATAAAATTTCGATAGCTAATGCTACGATTCGGAATCGCTTAAATAAAAATTGTTTATGTATTTGTTTTATGTTCTACTGTCACTACTTTTTGTATACTTTAATATGTGTAGACGGCTAAGTATTATAGGAGACAAAAAATGACCTAATGTCATCATCACATATTATAGCAAACAGATCTTATCGAAGTTTTATTATTATTTTAGTTGAAGAAGGATCATTATAGAGAACACCAAGATTCATTGTGTGCTTTTTTAAAATTTAACCAAGAAATATTATTTTTAAATAATAGCTTTGGACATGAAGTGATATAGATATTGATCTCCTCTTAATCCACATCTACCTCATATCATTTTGACAAGTAGCATAAAAATCTGCATCTGCATCGAATAGTAAACTCGACATTTGGAATCTAATTTTCATCAAATTTTGGTCTTTACATCCTCTTAATGTTATTTTTGAATATTCTGACCAATGCTCTTCTTCTAAGGTCGAAATTTGACAAAAATAAGATTCAAATATGAAGTATACGATTTAATGCAGATTTTTATGCTGCTTGTGAATATGATATTTGTTTCGTTCGGAAATAAAGTTCATAATAGTGGAATACACAGTATAATTTTTTTCCTAAGTATATGACAAGTAAAATCAAAAGAACTACTTGGATAAGTTTATTTTAAGGGTATGAGTGTGAGCTATCTCTTCAATAACATCCACATTCACACCCAATTTGCAGACAAAACATGAGTTCGACCGATAATTAACACTTAGATATATTTCATCGTTAGTTTTGTACATTTCCACGTCCTTAATCATCTAGTAAATACAATATTATTTTTACATCATGTCCTAGACTATAATTGTCTACTGAAGTAATATTCATAGAAGCTTTCAATTATGAGCTGTGTAAATAATAATTATTTTAAACGAAATAAAAGCACAATTTTCTGATAGATATAATAGAATTCAAAACGCAATTTTGAGCTTAAAACGTCTATGAATCGGAAAGTATAATATAGTTCGCTGTCTGTTTCTTAGAAAGAAATTAGTTTGTTAGATAAGTCAACGTTTATAATTGGTTTGACATATTTTATCTTCATTTAAGTCAATAGTTAAAATAAAAATATTGGTTTAAGAATTGAAAGACATATAAAATAAATCATAGTAATGATGATCGATGGTAAAATTAAACTGGCATCTGAAGAAGATTTTTGAATAAATCCTGCAATACCAGCAAGTTTAGGTATACTGGTTGTATTGCCTGGTTGTACTGTAAAAACGTCATTAAATGTTGCATTACCAGGTCCATTCAATCGATAACTACTAATAGCATGTGCTGTTGTACCAATAACAAATAAATAATCAATACCAGCGACATTGACAACTGTTGCATCAAGTGCACCTGTATCATTTGGTAGTGAATAGTATTGAACAATTTGAACAGGTTTCGAAGTCGAACTTAAATTAACGTTTAATTCCACAATAGCTGCTGGATTTGAACCAATGACATAATAGTTTCTAGTCATCGATGAATAAATTGACCAACAGAGTGCACCTGCTAGAGTCGAATTAATCTTTGTCAGCATAATGTTTGAAATCGAACCATTCTCTGCTAGATAATTCATGGTTAAAACACCATTTGGCTTAGGATCAGTAACTAATAAACCGTTCATATTGATTAATGTCATTGAAAATGGAAATATACCATTTGTTAGTATTTGTTGTGTTGCATTTGTTGCTAACATGTTCAAATCAATGAATGGATAAAATAAGAGATAACCAAGCATTGTACTATTATATCCTTTGACAGCAACAATCAATGCACTATTGTCAGCTGAAAATAGTATTTCACTCATTGTTCCTGGTGGACCCATTGGAGGATTACTTTGTGAAATATACGATGTAAGATTACGATCGAATGATCGTACAACATATAAACCAGACGTATTATAAGTGAAACAACGAATTCCTGTTGCATTACCACCAGTCAAAACACAAGCATACTTTAAATTGACTGTTACTGAAATGGGAAACCAGCCGTTTACTCTTTCCACTGAAACTAATGTCAATTCGGTTGCATTCAATAGATTAATCGAAAACATTGATAATGTATTCGAGCCTGGATTAACAGCAAACAAGTAATTAGAATAGACTTGCAATGAACCTTGTGAAAATAACGGATCTGCTATAGTTATATTTACGCCAGTTCCATTTGTCTTAACCATCTGAATTAAAGTCAATTGACCATTTGAATTAAGACGATTGACAATAATTTCATTCATAGTCGCTCCATTTGACATTGTATAAATTGCACCAATGCCATTGTTCGAAGTCTGTACATGAACTCCGTGGATTGAAATGAATATAGTAAAAATGATCATTACCATAAAATCCATTTTCATCTCTATACAGAAAGTAATCACATTACAAAATGTAATTTGTCTACCGAATCGCGAGAAAGAAGTAGAGCAGCAAAAAAAAAATGTTTATTTATGTCAAACATTGAACGAGTAAAACTAACCTTATTTTGAAAAATTTTCTTTATATTTCGTGAATTCGGAAAGCTATTATTGAAATTCAATACTAATTCATATTAATGGATGTTCTAGAATAAATTAATCTCTTTGTTGTTGATTAATATCTCATGCAATTTTCATTATTGAAACTCAAATTCTTTTGTAAAAGATTTTTCGTTTATTTTTTCTCTAACCCTACATGAAACGAATAAGTGGAAAGAGAGTATTTCAAGATACTAAAAATCTTTCTCTGATTGATTGAGCTATTGCTGAATAGAAATCGAGGCAATATCGTCGCAATTTTCAACTACATTCTTAGTCGTTACTTGCAATAATAATGGCTTGAGTGAAATAGTAACGCAAAAGTAATTGAATTTCTTCTAGAAAGGAAGTGTTATAGGTGAAGTACGTATTTTCTTCTGGCATTTTTATATTCAACATATAATTTATTTTATGGATATTGAATAAATATGAGAGGTAAATGATTCATCTTCTAAATAACTAGACCTATCAATCCTCATAATGTCATCTAGAACATTAATAAAGAAATAGTACAAAGTGATGCTAGACGACAGTTGCCAAAAATCGAAATGTTCGTTGAGAAAATGCTTTTCAAGAACTTCGACTTAACTTTTATTTCACTTGTTTAACAGCTAGAACAAGAAATTTCAGCGAAAAATGTTTGAGACAAAAAAAAGATATCTTTTTGATACTTGTTCTCTTCTCTTTTCTTTATGTCTTTTGGATTCTCTCGTTCGTCGTTCAATAGATGCACGATTGAGGATCTAAGTGAAAAATTGATTTACTTCAATTTTATATGTTGTATGTCGTTTGTTGAAGATTGAAAAAAATTTCCTTAATGAATTTGATACTCAAACAATTTTTAAGATTGAATCTGATTCAGTACTTTTTCTCAGAAAATTATGTCAGTGAAATGAACATCCACATACCTTCAGCATTTTCTTTTTATCTCAGAAGATAAATTTGAGTAATAAAACTAATCTAAAGAGCGTTTCTTATACTGTCCGATATACAGGTAATTCGTAACATATGGCAAAGCGGATACGAAAGGTGTAGGAGTAGGTAAGAGTACAGAATAGATTTGCACCCACACTCACATCCCTACACTTCAAGATAATTATTAATATTCGTGCAAGGATCTATTCTTATCATTTAACTTAAAACAATTCGCACGAATAAATTATTAATGATTGTTATTGTATCTTTGTTAAATAATTCTTGATATCGTTTCTCATCTTTGCTTTGTTCGTAAATATAATTTATTGTATGAGTAATATCATCACATTTTTCTATTTGTTGGAAACAGTTATTGAATACTTTTCAGTTCAAATGAGACTATTTCTAAAATTTGGTCATTGTATATATCAGAATTATAGTTGTAAAATTTTAGATGTTGTCGTACAAAAGTACTTAAATAAATGCAAAACACGAAATCCATTGAAATGGTCTCTTTTCCAAAAGATTCATCCAAAATTTTTTCTTCTTGTCAATTGAGATCGTCTTTAAATGCACAAGTAAATTTATTTCATTCGTATATAAGATTATTTTGTTTTGATATTTCAAAAAATGTCTCAGTAATCACAAAGGTCGCGCGAACGACCTAAGATTTGGCGGATGTAAAGGTGATATTTGCAACAAAGTGCAAGACGTACAGGAAATCCAGCTTTGTCGCGTCTATATTCATATGTTGAAGCTGAACGTTACATTTCTTTTTGCATATTTTCTCCATATTATATATCTTGATATGTTCGTTATTTTGTTGCATATCAATGAAAAAGTGTTGATAGGACACATTTTGTTATCCTATAGGAGAGTATAATACAGTGATGTCGCATATATAGATATTCAATATTTTGTGTTATCCATTTCTTTCGTTTCATTCTTCTTATGAAACAAAGATCGTGCATCATGCATGCATGCATGGTACATCAGGTCACATATATGAATGGAATGAGAAAATGAATTGTAACAATGGGAAGGTAAAACTTGGATGAGCTTTGTCATTTCTCTTACAATGTTTCGATATGAAATATAAATGAACATTCATTCATATCAAAATATACTTCTGTCTATAATTCAATTCATGTATCTCTTAATAACTATCACATATCTTTTGTTGACCATTTCTATCAATGGATTACCAAGTAAGATAATTCCATAAAAATTTCAAAAAAGAATTGAATCAATTATTTTTATGAACAGTGTTTTATGGTGATGATGCTCAATATAATCCATGTAATTTAAATTCCCATACATTCTTTTATCCACATCGTACAGATATTCATAAATACTATCAATGTGATGAACTTGGTAATGCTTATTTACGTTTTTGTGGTTATCTTGTATGGGACAGAGTTCACATGACATGTAGTTGGCGATTCGGTGTAATCCGTGCACCATCACAATGTATGAAAAAAAGTGTTTTGAAAGCAGAAAAAAAATCTGTCGTTTTCTCTTTAGTTGCACCAATTTTGAAAACAAGTCGATCATTTTTTATTACACAATCAAGTTCGACCATTGCTGTGCCATCATCTTTATGTAAACCAAATAATCCATGTGGTACACATGGTAAATGTCTTGAACCGCGTAGAACAGCCTTACATTCATATCGAAGATTTACATGTGTCTGTTCAGACAACTGGTTTGGCCCATTATGTGATAAACATATTGATGATTGTAAGATTATTTTTATTTATTGAATATATATTCAATTTTGTCTTTTCTTTTTAATAGTAACAACACCAACAATAGTCAAAATTGCTCAGATTCAAAATTTTCCACCAACAGAAAAGACTACTGTAGCACCTATATTGACAACAAAAGATTCAAAAAAAATATCATATGATCTCAAAGAAAGCAATATAAATGAAGAACTTGATCGACCACTTCTAGCAATTCATTCCATTATCGAAGAAAATGTCGAAATATCACCTAGTACTGAAGAATCAAAGCCAAAAGCTATTGAAGCATCATCTAATGTTGAAGAACTAAATGTGATAACTACTGAAGCAACATCAAAAGCTGAAGAACGAAATCCAGCAACAGTTGAAGTATTACCAAGTGCTAAAGAACTAAAACTAGAAAATATTGAAGCATCATCTAATATTGAAGAAATGAATGTCGTAACTACTGAAGCAGCACCTACATCCGAA